ATTGGGAACAAGGCAAGGATGTCTGCTCTCACCACTTACAGTCAATATTTTTCTGGAGGTCCTAGCAAGCGTAGTAAGGCAAAAGAAATAAAAATAAAAAATATGCCGATTGGAAAAGAAGAAAAACAGATGTTACTTGCAGATAACGTGGATTGTCTTTGTAAAATATCTTAAGGAATCTACACTGAAAAGCTACCAGAATTAGTACGTGAGTTAGCTAGGTTGTAGGATACATGGACAATATATAAAAATCAATTTTATTTCTCTATGCCAGTAAACAATTGGAAAATGGGGGGAAAAAGGCCATTTATAACAGTACCGAAAACATGAAATAAGGATAAAGTTAACAAAATATGTGTGAGACCTTTGCACTTGAATTGCTCAACGTTGCCAAGATAAGTAAGTAGGGAGATACACTGTCGGGAGACAATTCTCCATGCGTCTTTTTTTTTTTTTTTTTTTTTAAAGAGATTGAGGGCGGGGCGGGCGATCTGGCTCTGTTGGCCCGGCTGGAGTGCAGTGGCTATTCACAGGTGTGATCATAACGTACTACAGCCTTGAACTCCCAGCATCAGCTGATCCTCCTGCCGCCTGAGTGGCTGGGACTACAGGTGTGCACTGTTGTGCCCAGCTTCTTCATGGATCTTTGCATTTCTATCCCTCTTGCAGGTGAGGCAGTGACAGCCCTTTTAAGTGCTCCTTTCAAGGATACTTGTATAGCAAACTGCGTTGGACAGTAGTGTCTCCTGCTGTAGCAAAGCGCAGGTTTGCTTATTGTCCAGTATAATAAAGATGATATCTCCCTCTGGGCAAAGGGCAGGTTGCTTCAGCCCATTATAAAAATTTGGGTTCCCTAGGTTCAGAGTTTCTCAGTTGCGGTGCAAACCCTCTGCATCTGTGGCATTTACCTGGGTCCCTCCATGTCTTCCCTGTGGGACTTGGGGACTCTTGGGAAACTGATAGACACTTGATGCTCATGTTCCTTTCTGTGCTGTGAGTAAAGGACCTTTGTCTCTGACCAAGGACTGTCATGTCTTCTGCCAGTTTCCATGAAACAGTACTAGGCTACTTTGTTAGCGTGCAAGGAAGGTATAAAATCTCAGACACCTCACCGTTCTTGACAGTTTTGGGTGTGAGGAGGGGGTGCTAGCAGAGGCATGGCCTTTAGAAAGAGGAAAGATGAGGGCCTTGTGGGCTAGGTTGGGAGACATGAAAAGACCCTCTAGCGTCTGGAAGTGAATGGTCTCACCCAGGTCGTGGGCAAGGGCAGTAGGGACAGGGGGAGTAAGAGTCCTCTTGTTCTACCTGTTAACATTTACAGGCTTAGCCGACAGGTAGAGTTGAAACAAGCTGCCTGAACGGTGCTTTGGTTATTGTACCCTCAGCCGCATGGCCCCTGCTGAACGGCAACGTGGCTGTGGTTGCTGAGTCGAGCCCTCAGAGATGAAAAATGGTGTCAGTGGTGAGGCTGTAGCTTCGCGTGGGTTGAAAACCTTAGAAGTTTGTTTGGTTGAGCTGCAGGGGTGGGTGCTTGAAAATGAAAGTAAATGCAAATCTTTGTTTATTGGTGTGGAGCCACTGTCTCCCTCTGTGACCTGACCTCTCCCTGCTCCTACCCTTTACCTTCAGGTGCTCTGAGGAGAAAGATGACGAGGGGTTGGGCTGGCGTCTCTGTGTCCTTAGGGGGAAGCAAAGGCCATACCCATATCTCCGACTATGCTGGGGGAACTTCAGGAAGAGGAAGGCATCAGACTTCCATGGCTCTGTTGGATGGGGGCACAGAAGTCATCATTCAGCAGGGTGCTGTATCCAGAGTCAGCTGATGGGGCTTGGGCACGGTTTGCTGCAGGAGAAGAAAGCTAGTGTGACTGTGGGTGGCGCCTTTGTTGTGTACTGTTGTGACTTTCACTGCTGAGTGTGTGTTTGGTGTTGGTATTCTCACGTGCCTGGGTTGTGGATGCCCGTCAGTGCCGCAGGGTTCTTCTGATCAGCAGGAGCCAGTGTAAGGAGTGCTGGCACTCGGGCCCCAAAGACCCTGGTGATTCCTTTGAGCTACAGGCCACTGTGACTGATGATTTCGCCGTGTGTGCAAAAAACTTGTCCAACTCAAGATGAACACTGTAAACTCAGTATTTTTAAAAAGAAAAACATAATGAAGATTTTAACAGGTACTTTTCAAAAGAAGATATACAAATAGATAATGTATACATGAAAAGATGCATAACCTCATTAGTCATCTGGGAATTGCAAATTAAAACCACAGTGAGATATCACTTCATGCCCACAGAATGGCGTTTTTTTTTTTTTTTTTTTTTGAGACAGGGTCTCGCTCTGTTGCCAGGCTAGAGTGCAGTGGTATCATCCTAGCCCACAGCAGCCTCACACTGGGCTCAAGTGATCCTCCTGCCTCAGCCTCAGGCACATGCTACCTCACCTGGCTAATTTTTGTATTTTTTGTAGAGACAAGGTCTCACTATGTTGTCCAGGCTGGTCTCAAACTCCTGGCCTCAAGAGATCCTCCTGCTTTGGTCTCCCAAAATGCTGGGATTATAGGCATGAGCCACTGAGCCCATCCAAAAATGGCTAAAATTAAAAAGACCAACAAACTGACAGTACCAATTGCTGGCAAGGCTGTAGAGCGGCTGAAACTCAACACATTGCTGGTGTGTAGAAAATGGTGCTGTCAAGTTGGGAAATAGTTTGGCAGTTTCCTGCAAAATTAAAAATAAACTTACCTTATGATCCAGCAATTCTACTTCTAGGTATTTACTCAAAAGAAAAGAAAAAGATGTATCCACAAAAAATTTGAATTTGAATGTTCTTAGCAGCATTATTCATAATAGTTCCAAACTAGAAACAGTCTAAATGTCTATTAACAGGTGAATGCATATACAAATTGTGGTAGATTTGTACAATGGAATATCACTCATTAGTAAAAAGGAACACAACTACTACTAAGTACAAAAATAAGATAAATCCCAAGAAGCATGCTGAGGTCAGGTGAGGTGGCTCATGCCTGTAATCCTAGCACTTTGGGAGGGTGAGCCGGGACGATCGCTTGAGCGCAGGATTTCAAGACCAGCCTGGCAATAGCAAGACCCTGGCTCTATGAAAAAAGTTAAAAATATCCAGGCATGGTGATTTGTGCCTGTAGTCTCAGCTACTTGGGAGGTTGAGGCAGGAGGATCGCTTGAGCCTAGGAGTTGGAGGCTGCAGTGAGCTATGATGATGCCTCTGCACTCTACCTCGGGCAACAGAGCAAGTCTCTGTCTCCCAAAAAGAAAAAAATAATAGAAAAAAAATGCTGAGAGAAAACACTCATACTTTATGTCATGAGTACATAATATATTATTCCATTTATATGAAGTTCTCGAATGAGCAAAAAGCTGGGCGTGGTGGCTCACACCTGTAATCCCAGCACTCTGGGAGGCCAAGGCAAGAGGATCATTTGAGCCCAGGAGTTTCAGCTTGTTGTGAGCTAGACTGACGCCAGGGCACTCTACTCAGGGCAACAGAGCAAGACTCGTCTCAAAAAAAAAAAAAAAAAAATAGAATGAGCAAAAAGGCAAACTAATCTATAATGGTAAAATAGATCAGTGGTTGTGTAGGGTGAGATTTCGGGATAGGAGATTGACTGTAAAAGAGCAGATTTATTTATAGTAGATTTATTTTTTTCTCCATTTAAAAACACCAGTGATAAAAATTTAAGGCAATATAATTGGGTGATTAAAATTATTAGCTTTGGCATCATAAAAGCCTGCGTTTGAATCCTGGTTCTATTATTTACTAGCTATGTGACCTTGGGCAAATTATTTGATCTTTCTATATTTCCTCATCTGTAAAATGGGGATAATGGTGGTACCTATATCCGAGTTGTCATGAGGATAATTACGTCATCACTGATGCATAGTGAGTGCTCAGTAATGATGGCTTATTTTGGCGGTAGTAGTCTTTGCCAGTGCTGATAATTATAATTTGCCACTCATGTGTTTTACCCCTAATCTTGCATGCATGTTGTATTTTTATATTTTAAAAAAAGGAAGAAAGGAAAGTTGCTGATTAGGTTTCTATGGATCTTTGTTCTGTGGGCAAATAAATTATTGCTATTTGGTTCATCATAAACATGATGTGCTATCTTCAATATGGGAAGATAACCGAACTGATTTCCTTTACTGGAAGTTCTGCATGACCTTTGGCTAAAAGCATCACAGCTCTAATTTGTCCATGATGTGCCTTATTATTATTACTGTTTTTTCCCCTTTGCAAGGACTGGCTATACACCTCTTAAGTGGTTCCCTTTTTTGACATTTTTAAATGGCTGAGGAGGATCTTTTTTCAAATAAAAGTTTTCTTCGCATAAAGCCAATTGATCAAACTTGCAAGAGACCACGTGAGCTGAAAAGGATTACTTGAGAAACTCCTTTAACATGGAATTCGGGTATTTAATGGATTTTTATACATGGCGTGGTACCCTCATGCTAGGACCTAGCTCATTGGGGATTTTCAAATAATTTCCAATATGTTAATATTCAAATCTTTCTTTCCTTGTGTGAATCAGCTGTTTCCAAGTCTGTCAGTGAAAGGGGAAAAAAAAAGCTGGGAAGAAATAAGATGATCAGACACATCAAAGATAAAAAATTTTATGAGAGGGCATTAAAGGAGTTTCACGTGATTATATGACTCACTGTTGCCTGAATGCGGGACGCTTTTGGATTGAGACAAGATGAACAAGAACGTTTGCTTCTAGTCTTGTGTTCCATATGACTTATATTTCAGACTCTTGAAGGTTGAGGATGTGTTAAAATGGTTTAACCCAAATAAGAAATAAATATATTAATGGAGGCCTGGTTAAAAATGAAAGCATCAAGAATATCTTTCATTCAATTGTACATCAGTAAAAAGTGGTTATTTTGTCATTTGTATTTTTCTTGAATATTTTTTCTTCTCTTACATCTGTTTTGAAACCTAGCAACTTACCTGTTTTTCAACTCTTGTTGCAGTGCCCGGTCAGCTTTCTAGCTGGAGCGCGATCATGGAGGTGGTGCCGGCCGAGGTGAATAGTTTGCTTCCAGAGGAGATAATGGACACTGGTATAACTTTAGTGGATGATGATAGTATTGAGGCTGTTATTGTTTCATCCCCAATTCCCATGGAGACAGAACTGGAAGAAATTGTCAACATAAATTCTACTGGTGACTCTACAGCCACGCCCATTTCCACGGAACCAATCACAGTGTACAGTAACCACACTAACCAAGTTGCAGTGAATACCACAATTACTAAAGCAGATGCTAATACCACAGTGAAACCAGCTTTTCCAAGTGGCCTTCAAAAACTTGGTGCTCAGACTCCTGTGACTATATCAGCCAATCAGATTATTTTAAACAAAGTATCACAGACATCTGATCTTAAACTTGGCAATCAGACCCTTAAACCAGATGGACAGAAGTTAATTTTAACAACTTTGGGCAAGTCTGGTTCACCAATTGTTTTAGCACTGCCCCATAGCCAACTACCCCAAGCTCAGAAAGTTACAACTCAGGCCCAGTCAGGAGATGCTAAGTTACCACCGCAGCAAATTAAAGTAGTTACCATTGGAGGGAGGTCAGAGGTGAAACCTGTCATTGGTGTCTCAGCATTGACCCCAGGAAGTCAACTGATTAATACGACAACTCAGCCCTCTGTGTTACAGACCCAACAGTTAAAAACAGTACAGGTAAAAAAAAAAAAAAAAAAAGGGGGCTCATTAATTAAAATGCATGTTTAAAAAGTTGAACTGATTCATAGTTGTGTTTGTAGGGCTATTAAATGCGTAGTTGTTACTGAATTCTTTTGAATGTTGCTTTAAGTAATTGTGTGGTTTCTTTTTTTAAGTTCGATGTCTAATGCTTATGAAAAATTTTCCAGAGAACTTAGAGCAAACTTAATTTTGGTTAAATTCCAAATTAATGTACTTACAGCCTTTTACTCATTTTAAAATGCATTTTATTCTTCATGGTAGTTTGATTACAAGGATGTTTTGCTGGTATAAAGATGCCAGAGTTGCTGCAGGGCTTTCAAAAAATCATGGAGATAAAATTTTTTCGGTTAACAGATGGCCAAAGGGTGGGAAACTTTGTCGCTCTGAGAAACCCGCAGAGCTAGCAGTAGTGCATGCTGGCCCGTGCGCGCTGCTTATTTGGAGTTTCCTATTCATTACCATGTCTTGTGTTTGCAATATGGGAACGACAGTGACATGATAGAAGATGATAATGTATAGGCTTTAGAGTTGGGCCAACTGGGTTTGAGTTGCCTCTAGGCTATCCTACCAGTTATGGATCTTTGGGTAGGTTACTGCTCTGAGTTTTTGACTTGAGCTTAAGATGACTGATCATGATGAAATACATAGTATAGTTCTCAAAACATTGAGGATTCTTCAAAATGGTACCTATTGTTAGTATGACTAGGACCCTAAGTTAGAAGGTTACTAGAACATGTATTAAGTGATTTCCAGATTTTCATGCCCAAATAGGCTTTCTTAGGCCACCACTACTTTTAGAAATACAGTGATCCACTTATGACCAGGAAACAAAAATGCATTCCCTGTTTGAAAGAGTTGCTTTTGAAAAGAGAGGAGAAGGCACGAATTAAAATAGTAAAGGAAAGGTATAAGGAAGTAGGAAGACTTTGGGAAACTATCCACTCATAGCTGATAATTAGAAGTAATGTTTTGGTTACTATGTTAGCAAAAGAATTAGAAACTTTTCATGGGCTTTGCATGTAAGCACTTTGTAAAATTTTTCAAGTTTTGTAATTTGTACATGTCCCTGCTGCCGCTGTTAAACCTTAAGTGCTCTTTTCTTTCTTGCTCACTATCATCTCTCACTGATCTCTGAGTTCCTTATACTTGACTTTGCTAAGGATCTCTTGAGTGAGATATCCTGTCACCATCAAGCATCTTGTCCTTGGTTTTGAAACTTGTTTTTATTGGTTTACTAGAGCTTATCTGGCTTTGGCAATTTGGATCATAATCACGTTCAAAAGAAACTGATAACATGAATCAGAGTGTCATTTTTTTCATTTATGAGCGCAAGGTATACATACCGTTCTAATGACCAGTGTACTTGTATCCATTAGTTCTCTGCTATAATTCCCCAAGTATGGGCAATAAAAATAAAGACTGGGGTCTAATTCTTATAACTGTTTTATTATTGTTACTTCCCTAAAACCTGATCTTATTTATTAAAAAGAACTTCTATTTAAAAAAAAAATAACAAAAATGAAATACCTGTGGAATATTCTTTTACTTGTCCAGTTATTTTAGGCAATTCAGATCTTTCCAACTCAAAAGAAATGTACAAAGCTCTGAAGCACAGAAAAAAACCAAAAAAACTATGCATCTATATTTTTTTCTTTTTAGACACCAGAATATTTAGTTTAGTATTATATGGAGTATGAGATTCTCTCTTGTCGTTTTTCTTTTTTTTCCCTAGATAGTCCTCAGTGTTGTCTTAAATTTAATCAGAGTATCGAGACTGTTAGGGTATGGACAACAGGGAAGGGTGGAAAAAGGAGGCCGATCTTGAAAAAGGCCAGAGTTGGTAACAAAGGTATAGTGACATTTAATTACAGATATAAAAACACTTTCCCATGTTTCCTAGGCACCGTATATAAGAATAGTAAATAACTAATTGTTTGGGACAACATAACTCCTTACTAGCTCCTGAATCTGTCCAACACAGTGCCAAAAATTACTCGCTTGTATTATTTGATGACATATTTGGCTACCTTATCTGTAAAGTTTTTAAAAATCTTTTTTTATTTTTGTTTTAATCTGTTGATGAGATAAACTTGTTAAAAATGATCCTTTATGCTTTGTTTTACTTAACAAAGTAATATTGTTCTAGGATAGCTTAAAAATCATAGTTCCTTAATGGAACTGGAAGTTGATGTTTTCAGCAGTGCACCACTAAAGAAACAACCACAGGGCAAGATGAAATTGTCTATTTGAATAATTAATGTGCTTTTGGCTATATTGCTTATATTTTCCCCTTACTGGTAAGTATTCATATACTCATATGATTGTGAAAATCAGTTAAAAATGGGGAAATACTTTAAGCCCATAATCTTTATAGGTAAGGTTAATTATTGCTAGATATGGATTTCTGGCACATCTAGCTAGACTATCAATACTTTTACCTCTTGAGATCATTAATACTATGTATACAGGTAAAATTTTGACTTTAGAGTTTTAGGTCAATAATCACACTTGGGAAATGTTTTTTCTGTATGTCTCTAAATTGCGTCACTTTTCTAAAGTGCAATTACAAATTTATTTGGGTATGTCATAGTTTTGCAAGCTGGGTGTTTTTAAATATAGTAATGATCACGTTTTTTTAAGTGATTTGTATTTCATATACATTTTGTTTTGTCAATAATATGTCCTGAGTGTAAGAAAATAATATATTCTGAGTGTAAGATAATTTGTTGTTTAGTTTAATTTATAATTTGAAGCACAAAGAGCTGATATTTATCTAGTCTTGTGATCTGTTATAGCTTCTGGTGTATTTCTGTTATTCAAGATGGCTATGTTCATTCATTTGAGTCATTATTTCCTATAATAGGTAGTACTTTCAAGGTTTCAATTTTCATATTTGCCAAAAGATAAAATTAATATTTAATGTTCTTCACACTCTAAAATTCTTTGGTTTTTATTATTGGTAAATTTCTGCTTCTTACTTTCAGAAGCAGCTACGTCTTTGCAAGTGGTGATAATTTCAATATAAAAACACTGGTAACTCTACCTTCCTTGACTTGTGGAGAATTTTAGTTCAGGTCAACAGTTGGCCAATATATAACTTAAGATCAAAGATAAATAAAATAGAGACCCTCCTTTCATGGAATTTAAAGTGTAGTAAACAGTATTTTAGTAAATAGTATTTTAGAGGCTTTGCCTTTGTAATAGTCTTTGTTCTACCAGACTTGTTTCTTTTGTATCCTAAGACTTGTTCAGTTCTTCCTTTGTCTACACCTGATACAGATCTAGAGTTGAAAATCTAATCATAAGCCCATCTTTGATGTGTATTTATATTTTACATCTAGGGGCCAATGTAATTGTATATATAGATGGCTTCATCATTTGTACTGTACTTTATTAACTTTATCTTTTCATTATTGAATAATCTGTTATTTTCAAAAAGAATGTTGCTGTGCCATAATGTTTTATTATTAAACATTATTATTTATTAATAATTATTATTAATCATTGATCTGATTTTTATCATATGAATATATTCAAGGGACTAAAATAAGGATTTATAATAAAATGCAAAGATATTATTATATATGGGCTTAAGGATGTGATCATTTTAATATTTTGGTGAATGGCTGCATTTTAAATGTTTTCAACATTAATACATAGATTTTGTTAAATGAGCTGGTTTTACACATACTACTGTGTATGAATCCTTTGTATAATTTTTGATTTAATAGGTGTTTTATAGAAACAAATGGTCTTCATGGTTATTTATATGTTTCAGATTGCTAAGAAGCCTCGAACACCAACCTCTGGTCCAGTAATCACGAAGCTGATCTTTGCAAAACCAATTAATAGTAAAGCAGTTACAGGACAGACAACTCAAGTATCACCACCAGTCATTGCAGGTTATATTTCTTTATAGTTTATTAAGCTATATATTTATCTTCCTTTTAGGTTTAAAAAAGCCTGTTCTGTCACCTTAAAATGTTTTAGTGAAACAAGTATAGCTTGTTATTATAAACCAAACTAGTTAATAAGAAACGTTACTCTTATTAAATGAATGCTTCAAGCAAAAGGCCTTATCTCAAAATCGGTCCATTACTTTAGTCTCCGTCGTTTTTGGTAGAAGTTTACCATGAAAGCAGCAAAGTCCTAAACTCAAATAATATTAATAGTAGCTAACGTGTGTATAGCGTTCACTGTGTGCCAGGCATCATCCTTAGCTCTCGATGTACGGCGACTTACACAGTTCTCCGGCAGTCCCGTGAAGTAGGTACTAATAACATACCCATTTGCCAGCAAGGAAGTGGAGGCACGCGGCTAACAAATGGCTGAGCAGGAATTGGAACCGAGGCAATCTGTCTCTAGAGCACTGTGCTAAGCCTAACAGATTTAAACTAATACACATGAGTGCAGTATTTCATGGTTTCTGTTTGAATTTTTGGCTTCAGCATTTTAATATATTCTATATGTAGTTCTCTATGAACAGAAAATTGTCACAATGATAGTAATTACTTAAGTGATAACAGATTTTTAGATATATTACTTTTGCCAGCATACTCCTTAGTGTGGCCCAGTCTTCTTTTATTTTATACTTTAAAATTTGTCATCACCAGCAACTGTGTCACCTCAGAAATCTTGACTTCATGTGTTCCATTCTCTTTATTCTTCCAGTTTACATGCCTTTGTACTCTCGATACTGTAGTTCTCTGACTTTGACATCTCTGAGCCATTGCTTCTTCCACTTTCCCAATAATCAACCCCTTCCTGTCCTCAAAGTCTTCCTGTCTGAAGATGGAGTCCATGACCATCACTCCCTTGCAAACACCGTGGATTCTCTTTCCTGTTTCTTTCTCTAATGTCTTGGTTGAGTCCAACTCTCTCACTCCTTGTCTGGCTGGCAGCTATGCAAGCAGCTCAGTTCTTCTAGAGAAAAATCACACAGCCACAGGGACTGGTCTTTAATTCAGAGCTATACTACATTGTTCTTTTCACCAGTTATAAGACCATTTCTAATTTCCATTGAGCTACAGGCTTATATGGAAGCACCTTCAGATGGTAGACTTTTGACTAGGGACTTTCAAATTAATTACCCATCCCTAGAATGTGCATTCTTGATGAGAGAATCTCAAATGTTAACTGATCGTCCCTAGCATGTATTTTAAAACAACCTACTACTGCCTTTAATAAATGCCAGACGTAGCAGTAGGCAACTCTGAAGTCAATGGCAGTGGTTTGTCGTTTCCCTGAGGCTTTGGGTTGCATGTAAGGAGGCTTCTCATCTTAGCACGTGAGAGAAGGGTTGGAAAGATGACAGCGTCAGGGCAGTGTTGAGTGAGTGACTGTTCTCTTTCTCGTCTGGCCCTCAGAAGAGATTTGTGACAATATAGGAGGCTGCTGTCTTGAGGGCTGTCTTGGGAGGCAGGTATATTGGAAAGGGTTTGGGTTTGGAGCTGGTTTAGGAAGTGGGTTGTGATTGGCTGAAAGTAAGGAAGGCTTGGATGTGTTGATGAAAAGGAGGCCACTGGTCCCCTGAGAGGTTTTGTGTAGGTGGAGGGGGTTAACTGTAAGGAATGTCTCAGTGCGGTGTTCTTTACTGTTTAAAGTTTGAAAGAGTCCCTGAAATCTTTAGTTAATGGGGAGGGGAACATTGTATGCTAAACAGTTGTGGTATTCACGGAAGAGTCTGAATGAATCTTTGGTGAATGTTCAGAGTTCACCTTGACTATCATAGACTGTCATGGATGTCCGTGCTTGGTCTTTGGGTTGTTTATATAATATGTTGCAGACTAATCGTAGCTTTAGCTTTTAATTGCAGACAGACTTAATAGCCCTGCAAAATGCAGAGATAGACATCTGTTGAATTTCACTAGGATTGTTGGCGTTAAATTCATTTTAGAGGGATCATTTCTATTTTTAAGTAGTTCCTCATAGCCTTTTAAAATTCATATAAGCCAAATTTTAAAGCACCGAAGTAGCTGTCCTGCTGAATTAATTATATCGCGAGTAGGATTGCATCAGTGCTAGCGCTGCAGTCTTTATACACGCACGTTTTCCCTGCCGCTAGTGCTCTCTCAAAGTACATTGAGCTTGGTTTTTAATGATTTTGGGGCTTCCCATTGAAGATGGGCATCTTTTTCTATCTTTTGCTCAAGATAAACTTATGTTAATATTTGTATGTAAGTGATTTTTCTAAAATACAAGTCTGATTTTGTCACACACTTGCTTAAAATTTTCTTGGCCTTTCCATTTCTTGGCCTAGATCTGTCAGGATTAAGGTCAAACACCAGTGCTGTTTTAACATTAAAGACATTTGTGATTTAATGCATTCCTTTTTTATTTTCACCTTCTGTCAGTTCCAGACCTACTGATTTTACTTATTTTAAGAGATCACCGAATGGATCATGTTCTCTCAGGGCTCAGAATGTTGGCACTGTTCGTTTTACCTGGAGTGCCTGTCTTTGCGGTTCCCCGTGGCTAAGTCATCCATTTTATCTTTTGGATACTCATCCTGGAAGTTTTTGACTTCTAGGTTTAGTCAGGTACTCTTCTTCTGACCCTTTCCTATATATTACCATAAAACTTTGTTATACTTACCAAGTGCTTATCTTTAATTAAACTTCTGTTAAAATTCACACTGGCTCTTTCTTTCTTTTTTTGAGGTAAGGTCTCACTGTGTTGCCCAGGCTGTTCTCGAATTCCTGGGGGAGCGATCCTCCCGCCCTCGCCTCCCGAGTAGCTGGGGCTCCAGGTGCAGCCACACTGGCTTTTCAACACTGTGTCACAGCACTTGGTTTTCTTGTCTGTCTCCTCTTCCCCACTTGTGATTTTTCTTGAGGGTAGTTTCTGTTTGTTTTTTGTTTGTCATCTAGTTCTTTTCTAAAAATATTAATTTATGTTTTGAAAATTACAGTAAAATTTACCATTTTAACTATTTTTAAGTGTACAGTTCATTGGCATTAAGTACATTTACATTGTTGTGCGAACATCACCACCGTTCATCTCCAAAACTTTTTTCATCTTACAGAGCTGAAACTCTGTCCCCATTAAGCACCAGCTCCCTATTCCTCCCTGCCCCGCAGTCCCCAGCAACCACCGTTCTGCTTTCTGTCTCTGTGATGTTGACTACTCTGTATGTCGCATCCCAATGGAAGCACGTAGTATTTATCCTTTTAATACTGGCTTGTTTCACTGAGCATAAGGTCCTCAAGGTCCACCCATGTTGTAGCCTGTATCAGAAGTCCCTTTTTAAGGCAGAATAGTGTTCCATTATGTGTTTGCACTATGTTGATGGCAGTTCTTTTATCTTGTTTCTTTTTTCACTCCTCCCTGCACTTTCTCCCTCTCTCCAGTACGTGGCTCAGTTTCTGGCACTTAGATGTGGTTCAGTGAACGTGGATGGTTGAGTGAATATGTATGTCATGGAGGTGGTACAGTGGTGTGGTGGGAGCCGTTGGGAGGATTAGGTTTCTAATCACGGCTCTTCATTGATTTTCTCTGTGATTTTGGGTAAATATATTATTTGTTCACCTTGTTTCTGTAAAATGTAGATACCAACCACCTCACAAAACTTTTGGGATCGTTAAATGAGTTCTAGAGGTTCTCGTGATCAGAACTCCCACGACGCAAGGTTGCTTCATGGAAGCAAACCTCATCGCTATGCGAAACTATTCATTAATGAATTCATGTCATATAGAATGTGGCCTTGCTCAAATAATCTAACTTCTTGCCCCAGCCTGGCTTGGCTGTGACTTTTTGGAATGTGTCCCTTTTGATTTTTGGAGAATAACTGACAGTAGAATATTAGTGCTGGTGAATTGATTTCTAGGTGAAATTCAATAACTCGCGTCCTTGCTTGAATCTGTCTGTGGAGCTGAGGATAAATAAGGATTTGGAGGTTAGATTAGATAATCAGAAATGCTATCTAGGTGAAAACCAAGCAGACCCCTCAAAAAAAAAAAAAAAATTTCAAAGGATATAGAGGTTCTTGGGAAAATTGATGAAATTTTGAAATATTTTGGCAGAAATGACCTGCCAGAATATTCTTACAATCATGTTGTGCCCATCAAGCAGAATCTATGTCATGCATATTTTCAGAAGAAACCTTTTTCCCCCAAATGCAACAGCTGATTTTTTCTTTGTTCATCCTGAGGGTTTTGTGCAGTTGCAGTTACAAACTGAATTTTTTAAAAATATAAACCAAAAAAAGTAAGTGAAACTTTTAGTTTTCTTTGTTATTTACAGTGAAATTTTTGTTCCTGTTT